CATCTTCATCTTTCCAATCTCTAAGCTTTGGAATGCTCTAGGCTCATATCTCTGACTTCTATTTTCTATCTATATTTATCTTTCTAGTTGATCTTATCAGATCCCATGGCTTTCATTATCAGCTATGCCATGATAAGTCCAAAATTTATATTTCCAGCTCCACCTTACAGATTTTACTTCTTAGCCTGATCTACATATTGTCTTATACAGCTAACCCCCCATTTTCCCACTTGGATACTTAATAGGTATATCTAACCTACCAGATAGAAAGTAAATTGATATTTTCCTTTCTAACTTATTCCTATCATGATCTCCTTAAGATAATGAAGGGCAACTTCTTTCTATTAGATATTTACTCCTCAAAGTTTGGGATCATCCTTGACTCTTCTTTATCTTATATACTATATCCAGTCCTGCAGCACATCCTGTCAATTTTATTTTCAAATACATATCCTGAGTCCAATCCCTTTTTACCATTGTCTCTGCTCCCATGGTATTTTACGTCACCACCATTATACCCCACAAATTTTTGCAATAACCTCTTACATAGTCTTTCTATAACCATTCTTGCTCCATTGTAAAATCATTTCCATGTTGTAGCCAAAGATGTGTTTTTAAAAGTAAGGCAGGGGCACCTGGGAGCCTCAGTCAGTTAAGCGTCTGCCTTTGGCTCAAGTCATGATCCCAGAGTCCTGGGATCAAGCCCCGTGTAGGGCACCCTGCTCAGTAGGGAACCTGCTTCTCCCTTTCCTACTCCCCCTGCTTGTGTTCCCTCTCTCTCTCTCTCTCTCTCCGTCAAATAAATAAATAAGATTTAAAAAACCACATAAAACATAAGGCAGATCACACTCTCCTGTTGCAAATGCCTCAGATAGCTTTCCATCTAAAGTATTAAGTTCTTTGAAGTGCCTATGTGGTTCAGTCAGCTGAGCACTGGACTCTTGATTTTGGCTCATATCATGATCTCAGGGTCATGGGATCAAGCCCCTTTGGGCTCCATGTTCATTGTGGAGCCTGCTTGAGATTCTCTCCCTCTCCCTCTGTACTTTCACTTTCTCTCTCTCTCTCAAATAAATAAAATCTTAAAAAAAGTATTAAGTTCTCAGTGGCCTCCATGACCTGTCTCTACCATCTCTCTAACTCCATCTCATAATACTCAGACAGTTGTCCACTGTGCTCCAGCCACACTCCTTTTATCGTGCTTCCTCAACTTCACCGAGAGGTCCTTCTAAAAGCCTTCGCACATTCTCTTTGTCAGACATACTCTTTTCTCAGGTTGCCACATGGCTACTTCTTCACTTCCTTTAGCTCTCTACTTCAATTTCCTTTTTTTTTTTCTCCAGAAAGTCTTTTCTCTTACCGCTTACGTTCTTTATCCTTTATCCTGATTTATTTTTTTACTTTATATTGCTTATCTTGTTTATTGTCAGATGCCTCCCCCTTGCAGGCCTACAATGTAAGATCCATGCAGGCAACCACTTGATCAGTTCAGTTCAATACCTTTTACTCTCGAATCCAAAATACATGGAACATATATGTGCGCAATAAATATTTGATTGAATTAATAAATAAATGAATACAGAGCTCAATTTTAGATGATGAACAAAAGTCTCCTATCTGGAAATGCTGGGTTCACCTGAACAAAATAAGTCATGTGGATGTGTCCCTTATCTTTTTTTTTTTTTTAAAGGTATTATTTATTTGGGGCACCTGGGTGGCTCAGTGGGTTAAGCCTCTGCCTTCGGCTCAGGTCATGATCCTAGGGTCCTGGGATCGAGCCCCGCATCGGGCTCTCTGCTCAGAGGGGAGCCTGCTTCCCCTCTCCCTCTCTCTGCCTGCCTCTCTGCCTACTTGTGATCTCTGTCTGTCAAATAAATAAAATCTTAAAAAAAAAGATATTATTTATTTATTTGACAGACAGAGATCTCAAGTAGGTGGATGGTGTCAAGTAGGATGACATACCTAGCTTCAGGGATAGGTTATCATGAAGATAACTGATTTTCAGTCTTGGAGCACAACCTCAGATAAATCCTTATGGAAAGATAGGAATAGAAATAAGTTTACCAGAAGAGTTGGACTTCTTTCCCTTACACCCAACTAACTTTAGATTATGCAGTGTTAGCACCATGTAAACTGTAATCAATCAAGGGACTACTTTCAACCAATGCCATATGTATTACTAGAAGATATATATCTGCCAAACTCAGCTTATTGATGCTCAAAATCACGTTCCACCTCATCACCTTCATAGACTTGTGCTCTGCATGCTCTATGCATGAGCATAGACTTGTGCTCTTCATAGACTTGTGATTTTTCTATTCTAAAGCCCCTCTCCCTGTCTCTGTCTCTCTCTCACACACACATACACATACACACACACTAAAAGCCAACAAAGGAGAATGGAGATTAGAGGTTGAAGGATAACACATACCTTAAATGACTTTATAAAGAAATGATCAAATTCTAACTTCAATTGAAAATAAGATAACTAATACTGTAGGATCTTCAAAATTTAAGATTGAAAAGTCCAAATCCTTGATTTAATATATAAAGTAATGGGACAACAGGACTATATATTGCAGCCCAATAAAACATACAAAGTTAGGGGGAAAGCTGGGATGAAAACTCAGATTTCCTAGCCCTGTGGGATAATCCTTTCATTTCACTAGTTCTTGATCTTCATATCTTTGTTATTACAGATCATTTTACAAACAAAAGAAAGCACAATAAACTACCCCTTGATGGGCCAGATATCTTAGATAAGTATATATTGATAAATTTGTTGTTGTTACATTTTCAGAACATACCAGAAAAGTTCATTTCAGAATATTTTAAGGACTGAATTCTAAGAATACTGAAGAGTAACCATTCACCAGGCTTCTTAGAGTCTATACCTACACTGTTTAAGGTTGATTTATGATCTTAAAGATCACTGAGACAGAAGAAAAGTGAGAAACGTGTGTTTCAGAATCTGGGCCTTTTCTTCAGTGTTACTGCTTTCAGTGTTATTATTTATTTAAGGGATAAAAACACCACTTTGATTTTGTAGCATCTACATTATAATTCAGCCTCACTAGAGACAATTTTTCTCCTTATTTGTATGGAATATGCAATGCTGTATATTATAGAACTTTCTTGATAAATATTTCCATTACCCAATTAGATTGCCACAGTTTTAGAAAAAGCCCTAGTAGGGTCTAAGGTATTTAATTTGTCATTTTGAACAAGCCATGTTTCATTTGTGAACCACAGTGAATGATTCTTAGAAATTTTATGTTGAGGGGCACCTGGGTGGCTCAGTGGGTTAGAGCCTCTGCCTTCGGCTCGGGTCATGGTCCCAGGGTCCTGGGATAGAGCCCCGCATCGGGCTCTCTGCTCCGTGAAGAGCCTGCTTCCTCCTCTCTCTCTGCCTGCCTCTCTGCCTACTTGTGATCTCTGTCAAATAAATAAATGTTTAAAAAAAAAAAGAAATTTTATGTTGATATTTCAAATCAAGAGGCTGAGCTCAAAAAACATAACAAGTATAAATGGTTCAAATCTAGACACATCCTCACCACTTGTGCAAACAAATTTTAATATAGTTATTTGGGAAAAAGAAAAATACTTGTTGTTAAGAAGATGAAGATACATTTAAAGGTGATATGCAAAATCCAGGCAGACTTTCAATTTCTTGAAGCAAAGGGCTGTTTCCTATTTATCACTAAATCCAGTGCACTTAAATCTTGATGACATTTATAGAACATTTACTATATGCTATATAAGCCTTAGATGTATTCTACTACATTCAAAAAACAATTCTTTGAAAGTGATAAAATTATGATCCTTATTTTATGCAAGAGGAACCTGAGGTTTACCAAGATGAACTAACTTACTAGGGCCACAAAGAACTTGGGTTTCCAGGTAAAGAAGTTGGACACCAGCAAACCTACACTATAAATCCATTTTGCAGTGTTCTCAAAGATGTTTGTCAAGGTGAAAACAAAAAGGGCCTGGATCACTTAGAAGACTTTCTGACCACATACGTGTGTCTTTTTAATTTAATAATAAAACTGTAATTTATAGCTGATTTTAGCATGGGGAGTGAAAAGCAATTACTCTACAGCTGAAAACGCTCCTGCTCATGTCAGTTCACCACCTACAGGCCATTATTATAGCTCATCCTCCGATTCACTGCATGTGGGGAATTAGGGAATTCTATCATATCTGACAGAACCACAGATATCACCTTATCATGGCTTTTCTGATACATTCCATCAGTCTTGTTGCTGAGCCATCATTCACATTTCTTCCCAGACTTGATCTTCTCTTTTGCAAGAACACACACACACACACACACATACACACACACTCATAGAACATTTTCTAGACATTTATGTACATCTGGAGAAGACGTATAAGAAGGGATAATCTTGGCTGAGGATGCTCATTAATTATTCTCACCAGAGATGAAAGAAATTAGGGGATGTATCTTTAAGTGTAGTAGTAAGGTTTAGTTTATATGGAGGTGGGGAAATGTAATATATTTTCTATAAAAACTTTGAAGTGAATTAATAAACCAAGGTTACTGAAAAAGTTTTTTGAAATTAAAATAAATCAGTGGTTCTTCGAATTTTCATCCTATGCTATTCACTCTTCACTATCATCAACTTGAAGATGTTCATGAATATGAACCACAAAATTTGTTCAAAGTAAGTTTTGGATCTCCGTAATCCCTGACTTACAATATTTGAAGAAGCAGAGAAGAAAATTCCAATATTGTATAATTTAAAAATAACCAAAAGCATTAAATTCTGCAACATAAACGGGAAGATGACTTGGTCAGCCTAGATTTTCCAAAAGGCCCAATCAGGTGAAACAGACGTTACCCCAGGTAAAATCTTACATAATCACACAAACACATCAGTGAAAAGTTAAAACAGATTTCTGCCTGAGAATTCAAGAAATGTACTACCTTGCCCCACATCGGTAAGAATCCAATTACCACAAGGATGGATAGTTACCCATGGCGAAGAATGGGATTCCCAGCAGGGTGGAGTTGTACTTTCCATCAGTGATGAAGAAGATCCCTGCTGCTGTGATGATGGAGATGCACACTGTGAGCACCCCCAGGAGGCCCAGGAAGGGCTTGCTGCGCAAACAGTCCTTCATGGAGCTGGAGAGGGTGGCTGTGGTCAGGATCAGCACAAGGCTCACCAGGACCTTGCTCCTGGCCAGGATGCTGGTCTTATGAAAGTCTCTCCAGAGGCTAAAGGATGCTAAAGAGTAGAGCTGGAGGTCCTGGTGCTCCTCCTGGAGCTTCCTCATGAGCTTACAGAACTCATTCTCCCACTTCTCTCCTATGAGGTCTTGAGTGGCAGAGCCATAGGTCTGGAGGTAGTAGGTGATTTGAATGGCTCTGGCTGACTTGACCCGCTGGTCCTTGCTGTTTGGCACTTCCACTACCCCACCTAGTTGGTGTCCAATAAAACTGTTCCTCCCATCCTTGAAAACAGAAAAAGAGGAGACTAAAGTTACCAGAGGGATGTGCACTTCAAACAACAGATTCTTATTCTAAATGAAAGAACACAACAAAGGCAGAGGGAGGCTCTTGCAATTGCGAACAGATATGGGTGGAGTGGCATGTGAGGATTTTATATTCAACTTTTTGGAGTGCCATGGGATACCATGCAAGATGATCAGGATTAGAAAGATGCAAAGAGTATCATGAAGCTATAGAAGACTCACCACATGCATAGGAAAATGTACATAAATATTACTTTGATCTATCCCATCCATATCCCCATTCCCACCATTTCCTTCTGTAACAGTCTACTATAACTCCTATATGCAGGATCAAGTTTGATGACTCAGTTTCAGCCAAAAGCAAAACATGGCATGAGTTAACAAGGTTTCAAAAATTAAAATAATAATTCATTTAATAAATACACACTAAACTTTTCATGGTTAACACACACACCTACACCAAGACATGTAAACACACACAAACATCACAGATATCCATACTCTGGGGATACAACCATATGTTGCAGAATAAATAGAAGATACTATTTTTTTTTTACAATTAATATAATAGGGTTGAGAGGTTTTCTAAATATTATGTGAACACCTGTTCATTCATTACATAATTCCCTCCAAAATTGTGCCTCAGGCATTGGTTGATCTTTTCCCCATAGAACACAGTGGACAAATCCCCCAAACAAAACTCATGAGATTTCAGGTGGGGTGGCCAAAAGTCATTTTGGTTTCAGAATTTCACACAATGTAGAGCAGACAAAGTCATATGAGTAGGATATTTATAAGAGAAACAATCACTTCTCTTTAAGGTACATTCAAGGTGGACACTGAGTTTCTTAATTCAGAGCAGTAATTCTCAGCCATTGGTGCCCCCTCAGAAAGAAATCCCTGACAGACATCACCAAATTTTCAACAATTTGGGTATTTTCTTTTTGCTGCAACTGTCATTTACTTCCATGGCAATGATTGTCCGACATGATACTGAGCCTGATAGCAGGCTACAAGACAGAGCATAGCATTGAAAATGGGCCGCAGGTACTGCGCAAAATGCAGGCACAAAGGTAAATTTATGCTATAAGGAGAATTTGCATTTGCTACATCAAGCAAGACTTTTATCTCGTGAGGATAGAAAAGTGTAGAGTCAGAGCCGGGAACAGTTCTTTCTGGAAAGGTAGTATGGAAGGGCAACGAACCCAGCAGTCTGATAACTGCGGTGATTTTCACAGAACTGTGAGGCACTGTATACTCAATGAGACAGGTGTGACAGTTCTCCTGAAGGAGAACACTTAGGTCTGAGGTACTTGTTCCCATATGTATTTTTAACATGCTCCAAAGTAACTGTAATACTTGAAAGTGTGTTGTAAACACAAACAGTTTGAGAAATTTATAGAAATTACCAGTGATGTAAGAAGAATCATTAAGAATTGTGAGGAAGAAATTTTATAGTCACCTCACATGCCCATTTCCCTCCCACATGTTCAATAAAAGCAATTTTTCTATTTAATACAACCTGACCAATTCCAGTTGAACGATATATATTTTTCAAAGATTTTATTTATTTATTTGACAGACAGAGATCACAAGTAGGCAGAGAGGCAGGCAGAGAGAGAGGAAGGGAAGCAGGCTCCCTGCCAAGCAGAGAGCCTGATGCGGGGCTCAATCCCAGAACCCTGAGATCATGACCTGAGACGAAGGCAGAGGCTTTAACCCACTGAGCCACCCAGGCGCCCCAACAATATATTTTTAAATAAGAATTTAATTTGAGTTTTATTCCCCTTTGCTTGGTAAATCTCCCACTTCCAAGGCATCTTTGTAAATTTTCCATCTTCTTTTCCATATCTATCTATCTATCTATCTATCTATCTCTATCTAACATTCCAGCTAGAGGTTCCCAATGCTCTCTTTTGAAACCTGTAGGTTTCTTTGATGAGCTGCAAGTGAAAAGATAGGAAAACTTCAAAGAAGGAGTGGGAATCCTGTCCCAGCAGTGACAGACTGGAATATGGTTTCCACTCTAAATAATCTCCATTCTTGTTCCTCAATCAGTCTTGCTTATTTTTGTTTTAAGCTTGGCATAATTTTTAGCTCCACCCCTGTTTCTATTTCTTTGAAATCCCGTCTGTGATGTTGACTTGTGCTTTTGATTATTTGAAAGAGAAAGTATTTTAAAAGCTATATTTATTCACTTAAGAATGTGCAGTTCCATCTGTCTTTACTCATTCCTGTCATCAAAAAGATTTCCCAGGGATCTTTAGCAGCAGAACAAAGATTTATGCATCCCTCAGGCCTCATTTGGAGATTATAGTGGATCAAAGAGGGCGCTGATAATGTGTCTGGACCAAAGTCAAAACTCTACAGAAGGCAATATATAGATTTTTAAATAACTGATCTTTATTGAGTTTGGCTAACTGCTCACCCTCCTTTTGAAGTTGTCTAATTTCCATTTCTCACAAAGATTACTTTATAAAAGATATGCTTTCATCCCATTATATTTAAATGGATGTTACAAATAGAATGAATTTTTCCTCTCTTAATCTATTCTACTTCATGTACCAGAACAAAATAAACAAGGTCTTTAGAAGTCCTTGAACAGTTACCTCTGCTGAAAGGTCCACATTGTGTATAGCCATTGGCCCAATCATCCTACTCAGTATTGTCTGAGAAATATTTATAAGGTAAAGTTCTACTATTTTGTAAGGGGTGGTAGAGGAGTTTCCCAACTTTACTGATTCATGAGTGTTTCTATGTAGGAGAAACAAAAAATGAATGGAACATGTTTTTTTTTTTTTTTTTTTTTTAAGATTTTATTTATTTGACAGAGAGAGAGATCACAAGTAGAGAGAGAGAGAGAGGAGGAAGCAGGCTCCCTGCCTAGCAGAGAGCCCGATGTGGGACCCGATCCCAGAACCCCGAGATCAGGACCTGAGCTGAAGGCAGAGGCTTAACCCACTGAGCCACCCAGGCAGCCCATGGAACATGTGTTTTAATTATCTTCTGGGCAGAACTTCCTTGGACCTGTCAGGAATCAGGAAGTCATGTGACCTGGGTTGCAGCATGCACCTCACACTAACTGTTTAAGAAAACTTTGGCTGGTTGATTTCCCATTGCAGGTTTCCATTTTATCATCTCTAAAATGAACAGATATGAATATATGAGTAAATGTTTATATAATATTGAAGATATATTTCAGCTCTATTAGTCTATGAAAATACCACATATAAAGTTACTCTGGTGAGCAGAATGCCAGAAATGATATCGTTATTATAGAGCCATGAATTGATTACTTTTATGGCATAAAACAATCTCACCAATTGCCAGGAGGACATTTTTGTTTAACAGATGAGCAAACATAGAGGCTCAGAGAAGGGAAACCTGTTAGTCAAAGTGATGAGCCCAGGGTTCTAACGCAATTCTAATTCCAAATCCAGAACTTTCTAGAATCCTATAGGAGTGATTTCAGGGAAGCCGCTTTAGGTCCTAGTCCCCATTAACTGCTCTTTATGATTAAAACTTATTTCATGTGTAGATCTCTTATTTCCCGGTATTTTACTCTCCATTAAACCAAATGCCTACCATTTCTATTGATTCAACTTCCTCCTGTTCCAGTAAAACCTCCTACACAAATTCCAAAGTTCCTTTAAGTGCAGAAATCCCATTTATGTCATCATGAAGATAAACCTTAAAAATATGACAAAATGGTAACACATCACTTCCAGTGCTCTCCTGTTTCAGTGTTTCATTGAACTGAACAGGCATCATTAACAGGGGATGAACTGAAGCTCCTAACTCATATCCTTGTACCCACTTCTGCTTTTCTTCAGTCTATTTTTCCACCTTAAAGCCAGAACTCACTGGCATAACTCTAAATGAGGTTACACCATTTATACTCTTAAAACCTACTGGCTTCCACTTGCATTAGGAATAAAAGAAGAATTCCTTACCATGTCTGCAAGGCCCTGCATGTCCCACTGCTGGCTGAGACTCCGATCTTGTCTCCCACCCCTCTTCTCCCCATGAATTCTGTTCCAGCCTTCCCACCTTTATTCCTACTGCTTGAACACACCAAGCTAATTTTCACCACATGGCTTTTGCAACTAATGCTCTCCTCTATGATTCTAAGGCCAGGGCTGCTTCCTCCTGGACGCCTTATCTACCAGAAGACCATTTGAACCACATGATGATCTAAAAACTATACCTCCTTCCCACACATCACTTTATCACATACTGCTATGTTGTCTTTTTCCTCCAAAAGATTTCTATCTGAAGCGATCTTATTTAATCAATCAATTGCTCCTCCACTGGAATGTGTGCTCCTTGAGAGCAGGCACCTTTCCTATCTTGCTCACTGGTAATTTCCCTGTGCCTAGAACACAGCCAGCTATATAATGAACGTTCCCTATCGTTTAACTCAGTTCACCTGAGATGTATATAACTAATCTTACATTATTTTTTAAGAGACCATTTTGCTAAGAACAGGAGAAGTAAGAGACAGCTCCAAGTGTCTGAGGACAATAGGGCCTCAGATGAAGAGAGGTATATACAGAAACTAGAGGCTGGTGCAGAAACACACACATACAAGTTTTATCCTTTTTTTTCCCCCCAATCCCTTTACTGTAGTGTAACATTTCCCTAAAATATGTTTCCTCTTCCATTTTCACTGCATACCAAACATGTGGAGAGGCTAGTCAACTGACAGAGGGACTTAGTACTTGGAAAAGGGTTTGTAGGCGTTGTGGCCTCGGGGCAAAGGACAGCTCAAGGTTCAAGAAAATGACGGAAAGGAGGAAGTCTGAGGCTAGAGAGGAAAGCAGGGCCTTTTCAGGAAGAACCAGCAAAGCCTTATTAAGGAGCTGGAATTAATTGTTCTGTAGTAAGAAACTACTGTGTTTTAAGCAGGGAATGAATGGCGTGCTTTCCTTTTTGGAGTGCTCTCTCACTGCACTGTGGCAGATGACTTAGCAAGTCAG